AAAATAACGTCTACAAGTTCAAATAGTTTTTCTGAATTATCAGGAGTTTCGCAAATAGCAAGTACCCCTTCTTCTACTATATTAAAATACGCATCATCTCCAGAAGAAATGGAAATTGCTCTTAAAAAACTTGGTCTAGGTTGGGCGATTACAACGTTAAAAAAAACACGAGAAGCGAGTGCTTTAAGTTCATCATCCAATTCTGACGTAACTCCGATAAATACTGCCAAAAGAATAATATCACCTGTTAAAAAGCAATTTGAAAGTAATTACGGATTACCAGATTTCAGTGACATGTCTTCAATATCTATTAAAGAAGCTAGCAAAAGTACAGAGAAAGCAGTTCTTTTAAAAGGTAGAACTTCTACACCAAAATTACAAAATTCGAATTCTAATAGTGAAGGAACGAATACAAGTAATACAAATATTTCTGAAAATTTTCAAGAACCTGATGATGGTTTGATAATTCCTAATATATCACTTACAAAAACGAAATCTAGTATTAAAAAGTTGGAAAATCTATGATATATTTTATATATTATTACTTAAATAATTTTTTTTATAAATACTTAAAAATATATATAATAAATCAACAAAAAATTATTTTAAATAAACAATTAGTATTTTTATTATTAAATGAATTCAAAAATTTAAATATTTATTATTTGTACATGTTATCAATTTTCATTATTACTTTAATATATATTGAGTAATTGCCATATAATTTTTGTAAATTTGCTTGATGTGTCAAAATATTAATAAGAAAAAAATTAAAATTCAATAGACAAAAAATTTTCAATTAAAATTTCAAACTTATCGCTATTACAAAAGATTAGAAACTTGGTTTTTAAGATATTATCGTTTTTTCTTTTTTATTTTAATTTAGATTAAAACGATATATAAATATATTATAAAAAATATTTTCTAATTTTTTTTTAATTCAGATCTCGTGTATTTATTTTATATATATAAGATTTCCAGTTTAAACAATTCAAAAAAATTAGCAGAAAATAATCTTCATTGATGGATCGGAATTTGAGTAAGATTATCTGATTTATTATTAGATCATATTGGAAGGAAATTCTGAATTCTTCATGAAGAAACTTCATGAAAAAAGAAATTTTTATAAAAGAATATTTTGATATTTTGAATGATTAACATTCATTTAGTTAGATTATAATAAAAATAATTTTGACAATCCAAAGTTTCATTTGCATCGTATCAAAGCGATTCATATTTCATAAAATATGAATTATTAAATCAAACTTAAAGTGAATTATAATGTACATCAAATTATATTTTGCATTCTAGAATCATCAAAACAATAAATAAAATATACTATATTGAATTTGAGTTAATTCGTTTAAATATTAAAAAGAATTTGATATATTATATATCATTTTATTTGTTAACAAAATGTATTATTAATTATGATTGTTTTTTTACATATTATTTATTTTGTTTTTGAAACTATAATAATGCAATAGTGTTCATAATTTGGCATTACCGAAAATGAACACGAAAATATTGGATTATCGAAATTCTATTCTGTACATATATATGTACAGTATATAATTATATATAATTACTGATTATTATATAGAAAAAAAATAGTAATAACAAAATAAAATATATATTTATAAATACGCTTTAAGAATTATTTTTTAATAAATAACTATCGAAATTCATATATATTTTTTACGTAATATAAAATGTAGATCATAAAAGATAAAATAAGTAAAATAAATAAATATTATATTTTTATATTATTTTAGTTTAATAAAACTAAATAATAATATTTTATTTTTAATAATAAATTTAAAATAATGTATTTTTCTGTAGTATTTATTATTACATCTTTCCCATCTCCATTTTAATATAAAAAAATTTTGTTACGTATAATTTTTTATATATATTTATAACATTCTTATGTAATTTTAAAAGCACAAAGACTTTTTTAATCATAATAAATTTCTTTTTTACAATTTCTTTCTTTTCTACAATATAATATTTAATAAAATTTATTTTACAAATTATTATTCTATATTTGTTCTAAATTATTGATTTATTTCATGTCATTTGAATCAATATTTATTTTATAGTATTATACAAATATTACGTATATTTATCAAATATAAAAGTCTATTTTTGATTCATTATTGCACTATATTGGTTTCTATAAAAATTTTAATATTGAAAATGTAACAATGCGAAGAATAAAATAGATTTTTATACAGAATTCATTACTACTTATATATAATAAATATATTTAGTATTTCCATAATTTTACTGTTATCTGTAATTATTAATTAATATTGTGTTAATATAATATTAATTATATTGTGAATGATTACATATATATCATACAATTGTACGAAGATGATTAGCCTTTTTCATAAAGGCATATTTTTAAAAAATTTGTATAAACAATTTAATTTATAAATATTCATGAAACTAAATATCGTTATTCAACTCCATACGTCACTTGAATAACGTTTTTGCGAATCCATTTTCTTGATATAATCTGCTGCATCTAATTCCGACATTTTTCCCTTTTCCATCACAACTTTTAATAAAATATTGTGTACATCTCGTGCCATATTTTTTGCATCACTATAGATGAAATATATATTTTATGAATATATATAATATATATTTTATAATTTACTAATTTAACGTGCATTATTTAAAATATATTTTAATATATCACAAATAATTTCCAAAATATATATAAATTTCTTAATAATTATATTTTATGATATAAGAATAGAACAAATTTGTAAAAAAAAATCAATTTTTCTTATATTATTATAAAAAATAATAGTAAATATCTTAAATATTAAAATATTTAATATTCAATTTAATTATTAAATTGAAAATTATTCATAATTTAATTTAATAAATATTATATAAATTACATAAATTATTACATAAATAATTATATAATTTCATACTAACCCGCACACATAGATATGTCCATTTTGTTCTCCAATAATTTGCCATAATTCATCTTTATTTTTTTCTAATAGATGTGTAACATATATTTTCTGAGATTGTTCTCTACTAAATGCAGTATGTAAAATTAAAGTACCTTTCTTTACATATTCTTCGAGTTCATCTTTATAAAGAAAATCTTCATCTTTTTTTCTACATCCAAAATATAAAATTGTATTTCCTACTTCTTTTCCTAAAAAAAAATAGATTTTTATAAATTATTTATATTTAATGAAATATATTACGTTTATTAAAAAATGATATTTTATAAAATTGATTTTTTAAATTGAATTTTGTTAATTACCTTCTTTTCTTGCAAGATCACGTTCTTGTATAAAACCTCTGAATGGTGCTATTCCAGTACCTGGACCAACCATGATAATAGGAGTTGATAATCGAGTTGGTAAACGAAATTGAGATTTTCGAACAAAAATAGGAACATAACATGGTGGATATGAAGGATGTTTTTCTTTTAACCAGCTAGTAGTTACACCTTTGTTAATTCTACCTGTTGGTGTTTTATATTCCACAACAACTGCAGTAATATGAATTGAAGATGGGTGTAACTAAAAATTAATTAAAAAATAATTTTAAACTAAGATTGCAAGATAAATTATATAAAACTAATTATATAATATTATAAATATTATTATA